TTTTTTTTTTGAGGAGGGATAATGGATTTTCTAGAAATTTTATTTTTCTGTTTTATATGGTTAATATAAGATGTTAAATATTATGTATATAAATACAATTACGAATTTTTTTAATTTAATTATTGCGACTAAGAATTTTAAATATAAGTATACTATAAGGTATATAGGTGACATAATAATATAATTATGTATGCTCGTCGGCCACGTTACTTTTTTCGCCACGACGTCCCATTCATACGGGTTGCTAAAGAGGTCAAGAATGAGTTCGGCGGGCACACTGTGCCACATAATCGCGTCCTCAGCCACGCCGATGAACCGGAGCCCGACGTCACCGACCACGATCCCGACGCCGAACAGGCCAATCGCGGCCGCGGAACCTTCACCGCCATCGGATCGCGACGTCTGTTGGTCCAACTTGACGTTTTCGCGGAACTTGGCGCTGGGAAATGCCGCGATCTGCCCGAGTGCCGCTGGTCCGGTGGACGCGTTCGGCGACGCGGAAGATCGTCTAACGGTGGCGGTGGCAGTCCGGCTGCCGTACGTGAAGCCCATAATCCCCGATTTACGGAGTGCCAACAGGAACTCAGTTATACCGGACACCGATAACGTTCGGTTGTCGGAAGACGACGACGTCGTCCTGTTGTCGGTAGATGATGCTGGTGGTGTCGACACTGTCGTTGAGTTTTCGGTGGACATCAACGACGACATTGTCGTAGATGGATTTTCGGAAGACGGCGACGACAACCAAGACGTTGGATTTTCGGTACGAGGTGACGACGACCAAAACGTAGGGTTTTCAGTAGTTGATAACRTCGACCGAGCTGTTAAATTTTCGACAGGAGGCGGTGACGACCGRAACGTGGGATTTTCAATTGGCGGTGACGACGACCAAGMCGTTTGGTTTTCGRTAGGAGTCGATAACGACCAAGAGGTCGTGGTTTCGGCAGTAGGAGGCGACGACGACCGAGTCTTCATCAGGTTCTTATTAGATGGTGGCAAAGACGCCATACCGTAGTCGATGGTAGGCCGAGTCGAAGCTCCGGTCATGGTTGTTACCGCAGGCCGCGTATTGCACAGATGTGTAACGTTCACGGTTATTGTCGCGCGGGCGGTCGCCACCGTCGTCATCATCATAAGCAARCACGACGACGCGCAGCTGATGTACGGCAAAAGCGACGACGGCCGTACCATTTTAGCTATTTCTTGTACAAAACTTAAATATAATAGTCCTAAAAAAAAGCATAGAACGACTATATCTACGTATTTTATTAACACGCTCACGCGCTGACTGTATAYGACATAATAATAATATATATAGGTAAATGCTCGCGCACAGACGTACATATACCCACTCGCGCCAAGCCGGAAACGACTGGCCACCGCGGTGGATTATTACGTCGGCCGATGCCCACCCGAGTTTTTAAAAGGTTTCCCGTGTACACGAGGATCAACGGACCGCATAACTACGGAAAACCCGCACCACCACCCAACCAAGCCAGCTAGTGTTCCCGCGTATAGTTCGACCCCATGCGACCGCACGCCACCGATATTTATATATTCTCGCCCCGAGACCGCCTTACGTATTGTTACATATATAGACGCACACACACACACACACCTACATTAGTACGAGTGAACCTCAGTTTATTCATATTATATGCATATACCTATAGGTATACTTAATAATATAATATATCGGGCATTATCGGCGTTCGGTATATAGTCCATAATAATTTAGTGCTATGTCGAACACRCGAATAAAATTTTTTTCGTAAATTTTTTGTTTATAACCACAGTATTATAATATATTATGTGACATGACTCCATACCCCCTCTCTCTCTCTCATCATTATGAAAAATGACGTTCAATACGAGACTCGTTATTTTAACCACTCCGTCGAATTCTCTCACAGCGTAAGTACATCAGCACATCCAATGATGCAAACGGTGATTTATCGACATATTAATATACTATTACTATTATTACCTATTATATTGATGTAGGTAAGTACCATATAAATAAAGGTATACATATAGCCATATAGGTAATAGTACTTCATTGAAATGATAAATGCCGATTTGCACGTTTGATCAGAAATCAAATCATATTATTATATTTTAATTATACAATATATATTATATATTCGTGTGGTGTGCGCACGAATTTTCCTCCTAAATTTTTTTTGTATATTATATATTTTTTATACGCCCGCGCGCCCGCTGCAACTTTATTCCGAAAACAACAAATCACAATGACTATCTTCCTAAGATAAACAGCAAAATAAACAATAACGAATATCCCTGCACACCATTGAGAAATTATTGTGTTTTCGTTTTACGCACTGCAGGCTATGGTATACATCTCAACAGATTATGCAAATAAAAGTGGAATGCATAACATTCGAGGCCTGGAGTACTATATGRGCAACGTAAACGAATCTTTGAAAATATCAAAATTTACATAAGTCGAGTGGGTAAAGCACCGTTTTGAAACCACTGCTCCWCCACATGTATACATTAAATAATATCAAGTTTCCTCTGTTTACTGAATACTTTTTAAAAATGTAAAACTATTCCATCGAATTATCGAATTATCGAATATTTCTTTTAAATTTCTCAATTAACCCTTTTTATTATTTACTAACTAATAGTGAAAAGTGTTAAGTATTTAAATTCGGTTAGTTTGCGRTTTCGATTTTGCATACTGTGGATTATCCACCTACTTTATAACGTACTATATTGTACATGGTCAATACTGTTATACAGTAGTCTAGGATTAAGTTAGATCGTTTTTTTTTTTGAAAAGGTCTGACGTTCGAAGACTAATATTTTAATTATTATAACTTTTTTTTTAAACCTAGTATTAATATTGAGAGTACACAATAACTTAGATCTCAGTGATTTAAAGCAACACACGATAATGTAAAAACGATTAATTATTTTCTGCTCATCACACTATATGTACGTATATAAGATCCGAGTCAATGCGTCAATTTTTCAATAGAAAACATTGAAAATTACAAAATTACATTTATACTATATAATAATACGATATACAACTTTGATTTATATTTGACCCGAAATATCCACGGTCGTAGCACACGCTAAGCAAAAAGAAAGACAAAGAAAAACTAGAGATAATAACGCGAGACRACCTTGGTACGATAATTTGTATATTATGGTGTATATAGAGTATTGGAGTATATGTATATAGAATATACACCAACATTAACGTCAAACAGGAAGTATTGTATTCCCATTGACCATAAACACCATGTAAGTTAAAAAATTATTATGGGCCATTCTGTATAAACAATTCAAACCGTTAAGTAGAGTGAAGTCGGTGAGCTTTAAAAAAAAAATACATTTATGTGTGCAAATTTCAAACTAATGGAAATATGATATTTACTCAATAAGATGAATAAGTTCGATTTAAAGCTTTCACGAATATGAAGTAAAAATGAATGTAACATGTAAACAGTATAGATACTAATAAAGTAATAAAAAATATCGTCTAGGCGGTCTATATCCTATGGTCTGTATAATAATGATTCTTTAATATGTAGYCGACTGGGGTTGCACTCAAAATAAGCGTATTAGGTGCGGGCTTGGTTGATATAAAGCCTTCCAAATACACATGATATAATGCCCTAGGTAATTTATTTTATCTGACATCTTTCGTTTTCAACTCATAAGTATAGATATTTTTATTTTTTATATGTATCAAAGTATTAACTAAATATAAYAATTTATTATAGGTTATAGAAGTATGAAATGTAAAATACRTATAATCGAATATTCAATTCTATATCGTAATAAGCGCTGTCGCCGTTCAACAATTTTTCGCCATATCTACGTTATATTTTAAGTGCCTATAAGGCATTATAAAGCGATTTAGGTACTTAATAAGTCAGCTAAATATTTATTTTTATATAATATTTGTTCTTTCGAAATATTATATTAACAYCGACATTATGAATTTATCCACGTATAACCTATATACTTAATGTGTCTTTAAAACAAAAAATTAACTATGATATATAATATGATTTATCAATAATATTTCGTTTGTATTATTTTATATACTTGGTTAGAATTGTAAAATGTATTGTTATTACTTTGAAACTAGTTTTTAACGCATTATAGAGTGTATAGACAAAACAGCCAATTTATAAGAAAAAAAAATACAAAATATGAGGTTCGTAGTAGTCTTTATGTGTTATATATAAAGCACCTTCCTTTTATAATATTTGTTATTTGTTTCTATTTTTCTAACACAAGAAGAAAAAAATTCTAAGTTGGTAACAATTTAGTTTCTCAATTCTGGACTATATGAATGATGACTCACGTTGTGCCATCAAAATATCCTATTAAACATTTTCAAGAAAAATAAGTAAATGTAGGTATATTTTATGATTTAATTGCTGAGAATTAATTTATACTTTTTTATTACTAGAAAAAGTTTAAGTACCTACAGGCTTTTTTTTGGTACTTAACCCAAATGGTTATTTATAGCATCTAGAATAGTTTATTTTAATGAAAATTAGCTAAGTAATGCTTAACTGATTTAGAAAATGTATTAAGGAAGCCACTAAATTTTCATATTTTCATATATCCTTTAAAAAAAAATTCAGAAAACTTTTTTCCACTGAAATGAATCTTAGACATTGTGTTGTAAAAGTTTATGGAATAAAGTAACTACGCATGAAATTGAATAAAATAAGGTACATTTATACACATAATATACGTTTTTCTAGTAGGTATACAAATCCTATTAAATTTGTAAATAACTGTTAAACATCATAAAATGACATTGACAAAACTAATATGCTTCAACTATTGAATTTCCGATTACTAAATGCCTGAATGCTGATTTAAATTATAATTTATAAGTAATAGTTATAACTATTTATTTATTTCGTCATATTATAAAATACAATGCCCAAATATATTCTTATTATAATACAAAAAGTATTTCTCTCCGAAAATAAAAATTTAATTTAACAGTATGTATATTTTAAGATATATTAAAAAAAAAAATACAAACGGTATCAATGTTAAGCATTTATTTATTTTATTTTTAATTAAAAATAACGAGAAAATAAATGATGAATAAAAAAAAAATTATTCGGTCAAAGAATTATTATTATTACGATTAGTTGTACATTTTTTTCGGATCCGGCTCAACTGTACCAAAGAATAAGAACGATCGTAGCTTCAATAACTACCTAGCGATATTAAATAATTCAAATTTCTAATAAAAACTTGATTACCCGGATGTTTCACGACRATTTTTGACCCGGGTTGAAAACATTGCAGCCATGGGAATACAATATGTTTGCATTCTGCATGCACAAATAACGCGTGTAGTATAGGCACGCTATAAAAATGTTGTACCTAATTTGATGTTTGCATACTTATATGTAAGTGCATAGAACGTTGACACGGTTACGGTACACATTATATAATTTCATTTTTTTAAATTGATATATTGTAATATATGTCTGCAAATAGTGCAAACTAATCATCAAATAACAAATAGCTAACCTATAGTATATAAGTGTATATTATCTGGCGTATGGTTATAAATTAATTAAGTTCATCTAGGACTTAGACACAAATTGATTACATTTACGTTGAATTACAGTAAGCTATTGTACCAAATACCAAAACGGAACTCATATAATGATTAAGCCATTTGCAATGTAATTTAAGTCAAAAGTTTCATAACATATTAGTATAATATATATAGATTATAATTTCCACCGAAAGCTTATAACGATTTCGTATCATATTATTCGTATATATGTATATGGAAATTCTGGTTTCTTCGAGATATAGGTAAACATACAACACTATACGTACATATATAATAATATATTATACTATGCAGTGGAGGGTTCATTTATTTTTAAAATACGAAAAAACATCGCTACCTCATCTATATTATTTGAATAAAAATGTAGTGCCGATACTTTTAAGGTTATTTATAATAAAAATAAAAAAAATTATTGAATTCCTTTTTTTTTTATTTAAAAAAAAAAGGCTCTTAGTGTACTATTGCTGGTAATTTTATATTTTACTTTTATACGGTTAAAATTTTTTCAAATCGTTGCTGACCGTGTTATGTAATAGAATGCGTTTTAAATAGAAAAAAAACGGAGGACTAATTTAAATAAGTATAATTTTTTTCAAAATTCAATAATTGCGTCTATAATAGGTATGATGAATGATATATGATAGTGGAACTTTAAGTTCCTATATTATTAATATTTTTTGATTTTGGTCTTAAAAATCAAATTAAATTGTCTAAAGACGATTTTTTTTTAAGAATGTATGGTTTTTTGAAAAA